GAAATCTCACATCTAGGAATTAATCTTGGTGATACATATGCACAAGTTTATTTGATGTGGGATCATATCTAACAATAAAAGACTGGAAACAAATGATGATCAGAAAAGTACCATTGACTAAAATTTAATTTGTCCAAGCAATGAAGTAATACACAAGCACAAAAAAAGAGTAAAAAAATAAACTGTTGGAATGATCTCTAAGATTTGCAGATAAAAAGCAAAGTGAAGAACAGTGTAAGGAAGACACAGAAATAAGAATGAACACATATAGACATCACATAATATACATAATGTAACTACATATACACTTTCATTTTTACAAAAAGAAACATTGAAAGATAAGCCAGAAACTAATAAAAATGTTTTCCAAAGACAGCAAGAGGTTGAACGGTATAGAAAGAATGATAAAAGGGAAACTTCTGAGTAAACCTCTTTCTCTTTGCATAATTTTCACTTTTTTTTTTTTTGATATTGAGTCTCGCCCCGTCTCCCAGTCTGCAGTACAGTGGCGCGGTATCAGCTTACTGCAACCTCCACTTCCCAGGTTCAAGTGATTCTCATGCCTCAGCCTCTCAAGTAGCTGTGATTACAGGCACCTGCCACCACTCCTGGCTAATTTTTGTATTTTTAGTAGAGATGGGGTTTCACCATGTTGGTCAGGCTGATCTCAAACTCCTGACCTCAAGTGATCCACCCGCCTTGGCCTCCCAACGTGGTGGGATTACAGGCTTGAACCACTGTGCCCGGCCGATTTTCATGTTTAAGCCATGCAAATGTTATAAAAATTTAAACAAAATTACATTGAAAAGGAAAAAAAGCTCTGCATTCTAAAAATTGGAAACAAGTGAACTCAATTATATGCCAAATGGAGAAGACAACCACCCTTTACTTTGAATGCATACTCTTAGCCAGATATAGGGACAATACAGACTGCCAGATGTCTTAAACATTAGTGGCTTCCCTGATGTTGTGACACTTTATATCTATACATAAAATACACATTTTATGTATGTTGTGGAGAAAAGCAAATAAATATTCTCATTTTTTAGGAAGCAAGATTTTTCACTGTCAGAGTATGGAGTTACAAATATGAAATCAAAGTAGTTAAGAAAGAATATTATAATGTTAAAATTAAACTCAAAATATCAATATAAATCCATTATTTCTTCCATTCAGTCATTCCATCATTCAAGTATTCATTTCTTTCTTTATTTCCTTGCTCTAGAAGTCATTAAGACCTAGATGCAAATAACTTAGCACCCAGATCTTGGCTTCTAAATATAATTCTTCTATAAAAGAAACCAAAGCCCCTTGGAGAAATGGTTAATTCCATCCTGAGACATCATCTTTAACTAGAAAGGTAGGAAATACTATTACAGGGTTTTGTCAGAAGGACACAGTTGCCAGCCTAAAGGGACTCCCACAACTGCCAAATTTGGGATAATACGAGCACAGGAAAATTTAATATTGTTCATTCCCCACTGACAAGGGAAAGCTCTTCTTTATAGAAGAATATCACTAAAAGAAAAAGAAAAGTAGAGTTTAAAAATCAACATTCTACAACCCAAAGAGAAAAGAGAAAAAACTGAATCAGGCTAGGATGATCAACAGACAATCAAATGGATAGTGAATTGGGAGGAATATGCATTTGCATGATGCCCAAGTAGTCACCTAATGAATTACTTGCTAACTGCAAAGGGAATGTCACAGCCCTACAATAGAGAGATTTGAAAGTGGTGACTTTAACTAACAAAGCAAACTAAGCATCAATAAGTGTGAGACAACTTAACATTACATGGCTTCTAATGGGATGCAACATTAAGGATACAATATCGCTGATAAAGTATTCTGCCCAAAAAACTTAATCTGAATATAACTAAGATTTTATATCTGACTTATAGATTATAGTAGATTCAGAGGATAGAAAAACAACTTAACCACACCACAAGAAAATAATCAAATTCACACTGTACAATATTCCACAGGATGATGTCTGGTTTCTTAAAAACTCAATGTGGTTGCATCAGGAAAAACAGCTAATGTATGCTGCGCTTAACACCTAGGTGTTGCAGCAAACCACCACGGCACATGGCTACTTATGTAACAAACCTGCACATCCTGCACATGTATCCAGAAACTTAACATTAAATTAAAATTTTTTCAAAAGTCAATGTGGTAGAAAAAAAAGTTGTGGTTAAACACAAAACAACCACGTGGGCACCCCTGCACGTGGGTGTGCACACATGGAAGGACTGTTCTTTATTAAGACATACTAAAGAGACCTAACAACTAAGAAGAATGGATGAACCATTGGATCCTCTTCTGAGAAAAATAAATTGTGACAAATTGGGATACTTAAATGGACTCTCCAAATGATATGATGGAATTGTCAATTTTCTTAGGCATAATAAACATATTATGGTTATATAGCAAAAAGTCCTCATTTTTAAGGATGCATGATTAAGTATTTAACAGTGAAATAGCTGAGGTCTGCAACTTAGTTTCAAATGGTTCAACAAAAAATACATATTTACATATATATACAGAGATAAAGCACATTTATTTCATCTAGTTAATGAGAAAATGTATAATCTAAGTTATGCTCCTTCAAATTGTATGACTGAAATTTTTCATATTATGAAAACAGGGGAAAAGCTTGAAAAAACCAGTTAAGTTCTAGTAAATTGATAAATATGAAAACAGGAGTTAATGAAATAGAAAAATGTTAAGGCAAATTTATTCAATAAAGTTAAAAATGGATTATTTGAGAATAATAATAGACAAAAAGCTTGGCTACTCTGGCCAAGATAAATAGTGAGAAGGCAAAATTAACATTAGAAAAGAGAAAGAAGATGTAACAGACAAGAAAATTTAAAAATTTAAACGAATTATTGTATAACCTTATACCACATACATTTCAAAAGCTACATGAAGGTCGGCCTATAATCCCAGCACTTTGGGAGGTGGAGGTGGGAGGATCACTTGAGGTCAGGAGGTTGAGACCAGCCTGGCCAACATGGTGAAACCCCGTCTCTACTAAAAAACCCAAAATTAGCTGGGTATGCTGGCAGATGCCTATAATCCCAGCTACTCAAGAGACTGAGGCAGGAGAATTGCATGAACCCAGGAGGCAGAGGTTGCAGTGACCCAAGATTTCACCACTGCACTCCAACCTGGGTGACAGAGCCAGACTCTGTCTCAAAAAAAAAAAAAAAAAAAAAAAAAGCTACATGGCTACATTAAATGACTGGTCTTTTAGGTAAATGACTGATCTGTTAGGTAAATGGAATTTGTCAAGAATACTAAAACTAGCTAAGCATTAGTTTAAAAACCTGAGTTGGCCAGGCACAGTGGCTCATGCCTGTAATCCCAGAACTTAGGGAGGTTGCCGCAAGTGGACTGCTTGAGCCCAGGAGTTCGAGACCAGCCTAGGCGACATGGTGAAACCCTGCCTCTACAAAAAATATAAAAACTAATCGGGCATGGTGGCATGTGCCTGTAGTCCCAGCTACTCAGGAGGCTGAAGTGAGAGGATTGCTCGAGCCCAGAGGGTGGAGGTTGCAGTAAGCCAAGATCGTACCACTGCACTCTAGCCTGGGTAACAGAGCGAGACTCTGTCTCAAAAAGAACCAAACAGGTTAAATTGGTATATTTTATTTTATGTATATGTTATAACAATAGAAAAACTGTAAAACCATACTAATTAGAACCTATAATAAACACTCATTACTAATTAATATTCTGACTCACTAACTGGAGCAGATTACCAGAAATTCCAGATCAAGTCCAATTTCTAAGTTAGTAATGAGGTATGGATCTGTGTTTAATGCTTACTAAATAAGCATTCTATTTACAAATTCATTTTTATCTGTTCTAGAATCTAGGTTTCAGAATTATTCAACGGTTTTCTACTTACACGTTTCTCACATGTAAGTCACCAAACAAAGGTTTAGTGGGCAGAACAAATATAAGAACAAATATAGACTTTTTACTATCACGGAGCTTCTGAATAAGACAAAAATTAGTAGATCCTGCATCTGAGATATTTATTCACAACACCCTAATATATCCTGTGAAATGCCATTATTTAAAAGTTAACATCTTTAGAATTACAATCAGGATAGTTATTAAGGTAGAACTTCTACCCAAATTAGGCTGTGAATGACCTGGAACCCTGTAGTCACTAGGATCTAAACTAGAATCTATATTTAGACAGTCATTCTGAGGACTGTAATATTACTAGTTCTGGGCAGCTGAATAAGCCTGTATATTAATGAAGTGGAGAAGTAGATATGTTATAAAAAAAAAAAGTTGCTGAGTTTCTGAGAGTTTTTAGAGTGTGAATGTTCTCTCTCTCCCTTCTCATAACTAGGAGGAATGTATTTGATCAGAGGTGATTAACAGGAGAGTTAAAAGCAAAGTCCCTGGATTGCAGGATCATGTTTCACATATCAAAAATTAAAGAGCTTTATGGAATAAGAAGGAGAATAAAATATGAAGCTTTACAAATGTTCCTGTGGCTAGCAACAAAGAATCCACTAACACAGACTAGTTTATTTCCAGTAAATGAAGCTGAGGTTATATTTTTGTGATACTGGCATAGTCTGTTCAAAATTTTCCATCTATTGGCAATAATTTGAACTTTATTACTATTTAAAAAATTATTCACTATGTCATACTCCTTCTCTTTCTGCTAATCAACATTTCTGATTACAGATTTTTTAAATGCTCCTTTTAGTTGAAATATAACTTATTTCCAGATTTTAAAATAAGGCTACTTGATTTATAGCAAATCATAGTTTTATAAAAAGGGCATAGCTGCTTTCTTCAAATTGGGATGAAAAACAGGGCTAACATGCCCAAGAACAAGATACAACTTCTCCAACATAAGCTGGCTGAATTTTCAGACTGAAATATGCTTCTACATCCCAGTAATTTCAGACAGTAGTAAACACAAAGGGGGACATGATGATATTAACAGCAAAACTCCACTAACTTACTGAAAGCAATTTGGCCCAAATACAGTGGCGAGATTGTGAACATTCATGCGATTCTGCACATGATGCTTGGCTACTTTTGTCAAGAACTGGCAAAGGTACTTGAGGAGGCAGTAGTGGGTGTCTGGCAGCTCTTTTATTAAGTCTCTTAAGCTACTCTCCTGAACATCCTTTCTGCCATCTGGAAAAAAAAAAAAGAATAAAAATGTTCTCAGGTATATTTCACAGTAACAACAACAAAAGCACGTAGGTGTAACACATTCTAACATTTTATTCACAAAAAAAACTCTTGAGAGACTGAGATAGGCCTTGCGTATTTGACTTTATGTTGAATTACTAACTTAAGCAAGAAATATAAAAAACCCACAAGGTTTATTCAGTGCACAAAATGGGTTTGTGTTTCAATTTGATGTTTTCATCCCCAAATTAAGACAATGGTTAGGTTTTTGATCCACAGTGGAATCTTCCATTTGATTTTTGTCTTCAAGTTTGTCAAAACCAGAATTCTCTTGAATAAAATATGGTATGAGAGACCTTCAAGGGATACCATGGGGGATGCTAAACTTAGTGATCAGGATACTGTACACAGAGAAAGCTGAAGTAAACTTTTTTTTTTTTTTTTTTTTTTTTGAGACGGAGTCTCGCTCTGCCGCCCAGGCTGGAGTGCAGTGGCCGGATCTCAGCTCACTGCAAGCTCCGCCTCCTGGGTTTACGCCATTCTCCTGCCTCAGCCTCCCGAGTAGTTGGGATTACAGGCGCCCGCCACCGCGCCCGGCTAGTTTTTTGTATTTTTTAGTAGAGACGGGGTTTCACCGTGTTAGCCAGGATGGTCTCGATCTCCTGACCTCGTGATCCGCCCGTCTCGGCCTCCCAAAGTGCTGGGATTACAGGCTTGAGCCACCGCGCCCGGCCTGAAGTAAACTTTTAAACAGCTTTTTAATCTTGACAAAGATTATCTCCTTGACCAATCTCTAGTCAGACTTCTCTGAGCTTTTTTTCAACTAAGCCCTGTTCTGGGCATATCCTCAAGAGTCCACTTTTAGTAGGAATACTGCTAAGTCATTTCAGCCAAAATCCCCACCCTTCGTATCTGATAACCCTCCATATCTGACCAAATTACTCATTTCCTACCATCCTCCAAATGATGTCTGATCACCTTAGCCTGCCTTCAGCAAGAAACTTGTTAGGTCTGTTTAGCCATAATCTCTCCTGACCCTTGAGGTTTTTCCTCTTAGTAATTTTCCACCCACTGACTGCTGCCTATCCCAACCCTGCTATATGGTCATGTAGTTACCACTTTCCCTTGTATTCCAAGTTGAGACCAATCTCTCTGCCCCACTGCAAAACCCCAAATGCAGTAGTCCCTCTAGCTATCGTAATAGTCCTGAATAAAGATTGTCTTACTGTTCTTTAACAAGTTTCAGAATGAATAATGTCTTTTTTTTTTTTTTAAAGGAGTCCCGCTCTTGTCACCCAGGCTGGAGGGCCGTGGTGCGATCTCAGCTCACTGCAACCTCTGCCTCCTGGGTTCAAGCGATTCTCTTGTCTCAGCCTCCTGAGTAGCTGGGATTGATTACAGGTGTGCACCACCATGCCCGGCTAATGTTTGTATTTTTAGTAGAGACAGCATTTCACCACGTTGGCCGGGCTGGGGCCTCCCAAAGTGCTGGGATTACAGATGTGACCCACTGCACCTGGCCAGAATAACTTTTTCTTTAACAACATCTAACATGTCATATGGTTCAGAATTTGATATATGTTTCTCATACAAAAGACTAATAACCCAGCATACACCCCAAAATGTCTAATGATATATCAAAATTCACAGGCATACATATGAAAAGTTTCTCTCAAGTCTCAAAGATTTGTTTTGCCAATACTTAAATACAGTAAAATTGCTAAGTTTTGTGACTTTATGTAATGCTTTCTCTCAGAAGAAAATAAAAATATTTTATAACAAATACAGTAGTTTAGAGGAATGACTATAATCCATTACTTTAACAGACATTTAAGAGAATAAAAATGTAATTCAGTTATAATTAATACGCAGTTGTATTGCTTACATAATTCAGCTTTAGCCAGTTAAGTGAAGAAGAAACAGAAAAATGAAGGAAATGAGATACAAAATCAGACAATTCATCAGTGTTACAAAGCACCTGGATAACATAATGCTACACACAGGAAGTGAAAACATATAGCGAATCAGACACACTGACGTTGATAGGCTTCAGAGCACAAGATCAGAATGAAGGCTCGAGTCATTTCTGGGGTGAGGAACCTGGTTCTGCTACCTACTATCTATGTGACCTACGTTGTATTGTTTATAATGACTATTTTCCACTGCACTATGACCTTAAATAGCAGAGATACACAAGATGTTAAAATAATTAAGGTGGAGGGATTAAGAACTAATTGGAGATACCCATTTCTCATGCCTTTATATTATAAAAACAAACAAATAATGAACCAAGAGAAAATGTTCTGTCTTCTTTTTTATAGTGACTAATTCAAAGTGAGTCTATGGATGTTTTCATGGGTATTTGCTCTCTGTTTAAAATTGTGGTCTGATTGTCAGCATTTAAAGATACAAGCAACAGCATTACAACAGCCTTGACAATCAGCCTCTGGCTTTCTGGCTCTGAAATGAAACCTCAAACCATAAGGCAGGCAATGTGTAAAGACACCAGGTCAAATAAAATGAAGATTCAAAATAGTTATGAATTTATGACAATAACATCTTTGAAAAAGCAGCAGCATTTTCATCATTTTCCAACTTTTGAAATACGATAAACAATTTTTCCAGGAAATAAAATTGCCAAATAATGGGAAGGGAGACAGATGTATTTAGAGTTTCACGTTTAGCAAAATAACATAAAATTGTTTATGGCAGCTGGGCGCGGTAGTTCACGCCTGTAATCCCAGCACTTTGGGAGGCTGAGGTGGGCAGATCACAAGGTCAGGAGGTGGAGGTCCTGGGGCTGGGGCTACGTGGTGGTGGGTGGGGAAGAGTAGCAGGAGATGAAATGGGGAGACAACACAAGAGGAAAAGGACAGATCATTACCGTCTGATTAAATTTGACTAAAAGCTATGGTCTTTTCTTGTTTTGTTTTCTGTGTGAGGGTTTTGAGCTGTGGGGAGACATGATCTGCCTTGAGGGGGTCACCACTCTGGCTGCTCTGCTGAGTCTAGACTGTAGAGCACAACTGAAAGCAGCAAGATTATTTAAGAGGCTACTGTAACCATCCAGAAGGAAAGGGCCCAGGGCCTGAATCAGGCTGATGCTGGCGGGATGGTTAGACATGGGGACAGATTAAGAATGCAATTTAAATTTGTCTTGTGTTGGAAGATGTTTTATTCATTTAATCATTCTGAAAACATTTATTGAGTGACTACTCTGTGCCAGGCACCATCCCAAGCATTTAAGATAAATCCGTAAACAAAATAAACAGAAAATCCCTACCCTCATGGAACCTACCGTCCAGCAGGTGAGACATTAGGCAATAAATATAGTAACAGGGCTAGGGGAATTGGGAGTACTTGGATCAGCGTGAAGGCTAGTGATTAAGATTATAAATAAGCTTGTCAGGAAGGTCTCCTTCAAATGTAGTTGATGTCCGCAGCTAAAGTAAAAAAATCTATAAACTGGTAAATATAAGCTCTTTTAGAGTTGGTGGTTGAGTTTTGACCATCTTTTAAACACTCTCCATGCCTTGCATATTAAAAAAGCTCAAGACATTGTTTTAAAGAATGATACACATTTTAAAGACACACAATAAGGAACTAACATAGGAATAAAGTACATCTATACTTCAAACATATTTTTTAAAAATGTGGAATAATTTCGTCCATTTACAGAATTTGCTGAGTTGGATGGAATATTACTGTTAGGTAGGAATTAGATTACAGATAGTATCTAAATAGAAGAAAAAGCTACTTTAGTGGTCACAGGGAAAGGACACTCAGCAATAAAATTCCATAGACAGACCTCAGAAACAGAAGTGAAATGCACCTCTGCAGATGTATTAACATATGTTAACTGCTTTAAACTTGTAGTCATTTTTAGAATTAAATTGGAATAAAAACTAGGATCATATAATTCATAAATTCAAAAATTCTAAGAAAACTTTGCAGATGGAAATAATGGTTCACAATTAAAATAGTCATCATTTTCTTCGACATCAATCTTTTCTTAGGACAAAAACTCTCTCTCTCCATTAGTGAAAAGTACCACTTTAAATTATTCAAGTTTTCTTGAAAGTTCTCATTCGTTGTTGGCTACATTTGACCCATTTCTCAAGCTAAAATGCAAACATTCAACTAGCACAGTATGCATAGCATACAGAGAAATCTACTCAGCACTTGAAAACTGTACCATAAATACTTTTGTTCCAGGTTAAGCAGCAAACATTGAACTATGTGACAAATATTTGCTCTCACTAAAAAAAAAAAAAATTATAATTATAATCAGCAATGCTATTCCCATATCACAAGATATATCACAGGATGGCACCTAACTCTAATCGTGACACATGCCTGGACTTTTCAATGACCATGAAGTTATACTATACTCATAATCTTAGCCTCAAGGAAAGAATAAAGTAGCTGACAAAATGTTAATCTCTATCATGATATATCTCAGAGCCATGAGAAAGTCAACCTCTAAAACAACCACAATATTTAGCCTCATGGTGCCAGATTTATCAAAGTAGTTTCCCCCCTCCCTCTGCCTCATTAAACCTCACAAAAGGTTTTATGAAAACTTGCTAATCTATTAGATATTAATAGTATAATGACCTGTTGCCAACTTTGCAGATTAAGAGGTCATAAACTCGAGAACATGAGCAGCCTCTAGAAACAGAGAAACCAGCAAAGAAACAGAGATTTCAGTCTTACAACTGCATGGAACTGAATTCTGCCAACAACATGAATGAGTCTGGGAGTAGATTCTGCCCAGAACAGTCATACAGGAGCCTAGACTGTCACCTGGATTTTGGCCTTGTGAGATTTAGAGTAGAGAAACCAGTTAGGCCCACACACTTCTCACTCACAGTACAGTGAGATAATACATTTGCAACGCATTAAGCCACTAAGCTTGTGGTAATCTGTTATGGTAGCAACAGGAATCTAGTAGCTCCCCATTTGGGGATGACTAGACTGAAATAGAGAGATCGATTAGTCTG